AATAAGTGAGAATCTTGGAGGACAGGAAGTACTGGAAGGGGGGTCGGATATTGCTAAAGAGAGGATGGTGACAAGGAAGGCGGGCAAGTTGGCTCGGGGCGGTGGCGGCTGGCCTTCTACAGCCGCAGGCCAGCCATGAGTTATATATTCTGGAACTGTCGTGGGCTAGGGTCGGACACGACAGTCAGGGCTCTCCATGGGCTTATTCGAAAAAAGAGACCCTCTATGATCTTTTTATCAGAGACTAAGATGAAAGATCATAGAATTCTAGGTGTGAGGAGGCGATTGGGTTACTTACATGGATTTGATGTTTCGCCAATTGGAATTTCTGGAGGGTTGAGTTTATGGTGGGAGGACAACCTGGAGGTGAATATTATCTTTTCGTCCAAGCATATTATTGATGCTGTGATGAGAATTAAAGGGCAAATGCAATGGAGTAGGATTACGGGTGTGTACGGAACGTCGTATAGAGCTGAGAAAAATCTATTTTGGGATTGGATGGTTAACCATTTTACCCCCACAGACATACCTTGGATTTGTGGTGGGGATTTCAACGAATTCCTATGGGATTATGAGAAGTCTGGAGGAGTTGAGGTCTTGTACAATAGACCAAGATTCTTAGAAGAGTTTCTGTCTTCCTCTCAGTTGATGGACTTGGGTTTCAATGGGCCAACATTCACGTGGAGAGGGCTGAGAAAAGGGGATTGGGTGGAGGAGCGATTAGATAGGGTCATGGCAAATGAAAAGTGGCAGCAACTCTGGCCGAACTCCCATGTTATGCATGAAACGGTTTTAGCCTCGGATCATTGCCCAATTGTTCTTAGTTCCATATCTGATGGGCAGAAAGGAAGGAAGATGTTCAGATTTGAGGCGTTTTGGGTCTCGGAGGAAGAGTGCAAGAAATTGGTGGAAATGAGCTGGGACCAGCGGCATCAGGGTAGCCCTGTGAATAGGTGGGTGAGATCTTTAAACGAATGTCGTCATCGTTTGAGCAGGTGGAATCGTACCAAATTTAAGGGGCGGGGTAGCAGGATCCATGATCTCCTTTCCCAGTTAGACTCACTCCAGCGAGACTGGGGTCCAAACTATGGTGAGATAAGGGAGATATCTCGGCAGATTGATGAGTTAAGACTCCAAGAGGAGAGTTATTGGTGCCAGCGATCGAGGGTTAAATGGTTGAGGGAGGGGGATGCAAACACTCAGTTTTTTCACTCTTCAACCCTTCAGAGGCGTAGGAGAAATAAGATTGTGAAGCTTAGGGATGAGAATGGGAACTGGGTGGAAAATTCGTCTCAGGTGCGTCATTTAGTGGATAATCACTTCTCTTCAGTTTTCAGCTCGGCAGGGGATCGTAACTGGGGGTCGCTGCTAGATTGCATTAATCCCTCGGTCTCGACAGAAATGAATGAGGCGCTAACTGCACCGGTTACGGAGGAGGAGATAAAGGAGGCTGCTGGTAATATGGGAGGTCTTAAGGCTCCTGGCCCTGATGGATTCCAGGGGATCTTCTATCAGACATACTGGGAGATTGTGAAGGAGGATGTTTCGGCTCTAGTCAGAGAGTTGCTTCAGGATGTTGCGGGTTCGAGATTGATAAATCAGACTAACATAGTCCTGATTCCCAAAGTTCCTAATCCGGAATTTGTGTCGCAGTTCAGGCCTATCAGCCTATGTAACTATTCATACAAGATACTGTCAAAGATTCTTGCTAACAGGTTGAAGGTATTATTGCCTAAAATCATATCGCCATCTCAGAATGCTTTTGTGGCGGGTAGACAAATTCAGGATTGCATTGGCATAGCCCATGAGATGTTTCATTATTTGAAGGGAAGGAAAGCCAAGAATAGATTTGAAATGGGGATTAAACTGGATATGCAGAAGGCGTATGATAGAGTTGAATGGGACTTTTTGGATGCGGTAATGGAAAGAATGGGGTTCAGCAGTAGTTGGAGAGCGATAATTAATGGATGTGTTTCGTCTGTGAAGTTCGCTGTTCTCCTAAATGGGCAGACTGGAGAGTCTTTTGCTCCCTCGCGGGGTCTCCGTCAGGGGGATCCTCTTTCTCCTTATTTATTCATTTTGGTGGGGGAAGTTCTTTCCAAACTGTTTCAGGGTGCGGTGGACCAAGGTAGGCTGGAGGGGGTGAAGATTGGTGGATCTGGACCCGTGATTTCTCATCTCTTCTTTGCGGATGATACCCTTCTGTTTTTGCGGGCAGATGTGAAAAACTGCAGGAACTTGAAACACATTCTGGACAAATTTTGTGTGGCGTCTGGGCAGAAGGTTAATTTGGAGAAATCCAGTGTTTTCTTTGGGGCAAATGTTCCGAAGGTGAACGCAGATCAGATGGGGAATGCCCTTGGTATGGCGGTGGTTAGCAATCCGGGGACCTATTTGGGGGTCCCTGCTATTTGGGGTCGGTCGAAAAGGCGTGGTCTTGCTTATGTGAAAGGAAGAGTAATGGAAAAGCTACAAGGGTGGAAACAAAGTACTCTATCTCGTGCTGGTAAAGAGGTTCTAATTAAGGCTGTTATCCAAGCTATTCCGGCGTACCCAATGTGCATTTTCAAATTCCCCGCCGCCGTTTGTCAGGAATTGGATGCGTTGGTGGCTGGATTTTGGTGGGGTTGCAAGGAGGGAGCCCAAAAGATTCATTGGGTCTCAAAGGAGGTTTTGGGTTTGCCAAAAGACTTGGGTGGTTTAGGCTTCAGAAACTTTATGGAATTTAATGATGCTCTGCTCGCTAAACAGTGTTGGCGGTTAATCACGGAACCGGACTCGCTGTGGGCTAGGGTGATTAAAGCCCGGTATTTTCCCCATTGCTCGATATGGGATGCAAAGAAAGGTGGTAGGGCTTCTTGGGCATGGAGCAGCCTCATCTGTGGAAGGGACGTGATCAAGGAGGGTTCCCATTGGCAGATTTTAGGCGGTCAGGAGGTGCGGGTGTGGCAGGATAGGTGGCTTCCATCCTTGCCTCTTGGACATCCGGTGCCGGTTGGCCAGGTTGCGGTTACTCCCAGTTTGAGGGTCAGTGCGCTTATCTGTTCGGAGTCGGGGCGGTGGAATCTTAGGTTTTTAGAGCCATTTTTATCGGGGGAGGCATTGAAGGCTATTGAGGAGACGCCTCTGGGGGATCTAAGTCGTAATGATAGGCTTATCTGGGATTTGAGTAAGAACGGATCGTATTCGGTCAAGTCGGGTTATAGATGGCTGCAAGGTAGATCAATGGCCAGGAGGGACAAGCGTCGGCCTTTTGTTCGTGGGGTTCCTAAGGAGTTCTGGAAGGGGATTTGGAAGCTGGAGGTGCCCCCCAAGTTGCGTCATTTCTTGTGGCTTACGATGCATAATTGTCTTCCTACTCGGGAAGCCCTGTACCGACGACGGTCCTCTCTGACCTCTACTTGTCCTATTTGCTGCTGCCATGATGAAACCATTGAGCACATTTTCCTTTCTTGCTCTTGGGTTGAGCCAATTTGGTTTGGTGGGGCTTTGGGGTATAAATTGGATCGTCTTTCTCTTCCGTCTTGGCTGGAATGGATTCAGAAGGTATTCTCTCCGAATTTATGCAACTTTGGAGATACAATATGGAGACAATCATATATTGTTTTTACCTGTTGGTGTATTTGGAAAGCTCGCTGTGATCTTGTTTTCAAAGGGATGTCTGTTAACCCTTTAAAAGTATTGGCTGATGTATCTGCGGCTATGAGCTCATTTATTGGTGCTAAGGCTATGGTTGGGGTGAGGGGAGGGTGTGACGGGAGGAGGGGTACCCAGGTGGCGCAGTGGTGTGCTCCGGCCTATCCTTTTGTGAAGATTAATGTGGATGCTAGTTGGTCCAAGGCCTCAAAGATGGGATTTGTTGGATTGATTGCGCGGGACATGGAGAGAAAATTTGTGGCTGCAGCGCGGTATGCTATTTCTGCTCCTTCTGCTGCTGCAGCGGAGGCTTATGCGTTGTTGCACGGGTGCAAGCTAGGTGAAGACCTGGGTGTAAGGTATGTAATTCTTGAGTCGGACTCCCTTGAAGCGATTAATTGTTTATCTAGCTCGCTGTCTAGGGGTAGTTGGGAGGCATTCCCGGTGCTGGCTCAGGTTAAACAGCTGGGGGGGAAGTTTCTTGATTGCCGATGGTCTTGGGTGCCCCGTTCTGCTAATGGCGTGGCTCACAAGATTGCATCGGGTAGTTTTACGGAGATGAGTGATGTCGTTTGGGCCGTTAGGCCCCCATCTTCGTTGGTCTTTGTATTGAATAATGACGGGCTACCTTGTCCTCATTAATTTGTTTTGGTGGTGTCGGGGGTGACGCTTCTACTTGGTGGAGGGGTCTTTGTGGTTTACCCCTTGTCATTGCTTGTTATTGTATGTTTGTTTGCCTCTTTGTAGGCCTTTTATGATATGGTAACTGGTGTTCAAAAAAAAAAATAGAACTATATGATATCAATAATCATCACATGCGTGCGGTAGCGAAGCCAAGAATTCTTGTGAAGAGGAGCCTCTCACAATGTAGAAGGAAAAAGGGTAGTGTCTATAAAATCACTAACCAAAATACCATATAATACGTATCCAACGTAATCATATTCATCTTCGAGGAGTTTTCACATTTTGAAACAATAACATGAAAACCTCATCATTTATACTATTGAAAGAATTATTGAACTCAATAGGGAGAATCAAGAAAATGTTTAGAAATCCTAACACTAAAGTAAGAGATAGAATAGAGTAGAAACGAATAAAAATTATAGACAATAATAGCGATTTACAAATCTTATCGTTACTTATTGAATAAGTTTGTAACTTTTTTTATTAGTTGAATGAATTTGGAATTTGGAATGACAAAAAATATGAAATCTGAAATTTCGAGAATGAGATAGGAAATAGCTCTCGAATCTCTGCATTGTAACGTGAAAGAAATCAGATTAGAGTGTGAGGCAAGATTTTTTTATTTTTATAAGTAAAAGTAAATGATGGGTTTGATTTTAAAGGTTTGATTTGTGATAAAGGACCATAACAAGAGATAATGATTGAATTTATCTGAAGTGTTGAACAATAGGAGGGTTTTACAGCAACAGAAATGGGTAGACAAACACACATATATATGTTTTTTTCAAGATCACGATAGGCCAAAGACCACCATGGTCCCTTGATGCCTCCGCCAGTGGTTATAAGCGGTTCATGCATTGTACAATTTACTTGGTTCGGATGCACAAAATTGATTAGTCACATTAGGCAAAATGTGATGCATGATAAAGTATAGATGGTTGTAAGATTTTGCCACGGACAAATGCTTATAATGCACAACTTAGCGAATGTTTGTCGTGCATGCAAAGAGGCATATCCAGTGCCCAGAGTTGGGTAGCTTGTACTGAGATTCGTGACACTTCGCAATTATAAACGCTGATCCACTCTTATCCTTTCTTTGAGGGCACTGATCAAGGTTTTTCCATGCCTTATGGGTCCATCATAAAAACTTTCATAAGTACTTCTGCTAGTATAACACCTAAGCGAAAACAATATCAAATGGCAAAATGAGAAAAATACATGTTTTTAGCTTCGCATACAATTTTTCTAGGTTTATAGTGTGTTCGTTTCAAACTTTGAGATCTTTAACAACTAACATCCTCCCGCTGACGCAGAAAAAGACTTTGCATTTTGACTCTTCTTGTTGTTTAATTTATCTAATTTGACGATTAAAAATAAATAAATAAAAACTGTGCGTCAAAACCGCTTTCCTGTCTAATACTATTTTCTACTTTTGTTTATACATTATGCAACCATATTAGTCACTTTTGTCATTTAAAAAACAAAAAAAACATGCGTTACATTATTTATGATTTTTATTGAGATTACCCAACCATTGTTCATTATCCTTTCCCAATCTAAATTCCTAAACACTAGCCTTTACGCGTGCAGAAGACATTTTTTGAATTACGACAATAGCACTCAAATTGAGTTCCTTTGTTTCCCATCATTTTCTCAGCAACCAAACAGAGAAAAATTGTGTTAAACTAAACAGGTAGCAGTTATGAGTTGGGCTTCATCTCTTTAAATTCGTAATATTTTTAACATGCATGTCCATCATTATTTCTTTAATTTGTTTTCGAAATGGGGTAAGATCATGTTGGTTTAAAACTATTGTTAACATGTCATCATTCAACTAACGTTCGTAAACCAAAAAGAAAAAAAAAAAAAAAAAAGAGAAATTGATGGAAAAATTATTAGTCTAACACTATAAGTTGCAAAATCTATATCGCCAAATTGTTTTGGCTCAATGATAAGAAAAGCCTAACATGACTAAGTTGTAGTGCAAAGAATCATCAGTCTGACTCCCTTGAATGATGAAAATGTTTATAATCACAAAGTTCTCTGAATTTGGAGAAGATATATCAAACAAAACAACGAAAAGTACGGAAAACTAAACCCAACCAAGTGGTTTTCTTAGAGCAAGAACTTGGAGCTAACACAAACAAAATCTATCAAATTACCAATATGCAATCAGTGAACAATTTCATAACAAAAACAGCTAAATAGACCCAAATGAGATTAAAAGTTAAGAATTCACCAAACCAATTGAAAATCTAATTCTAAAATTCCAAACACCCACCAAATGATTTCGAATAAAGTTCTAGAGTTGAATACATGTTACTGATACATAAGGGTATAAAGAATGAGAAGTAAAGTATGAAAATTTTAAAATGAAGGGCCAATCCTACTCTTTGGGAAATCACATTTTGAGCCTGGCTGCTTTTCAGTTTCACTCTACCCTTAGATTTGTTCTTCTTTATGGGTAGACTTTCCAACCAAACATCAGTTCACAGATATAATTGTCCTTGGGTACACCAACACATTCCAAAATCATATATATTCTCTAATATAAACTAATTCTTACCTAATTAACATGTTCAAATCCTTATTTTCTCATATGATTATGTACCAATAGGATTAGGCAAATCTTTACCTTTACCAAACTGATGTCTGGATGCACGTCATCCAGAATTTGATGACATTATACCTGAATCAGAAAATTAAAAAAAAAAGAAAAAGAAAAAAGAAAGAATTTGATGAGATTATACCGAATCAGAAAATTTGAAAAAACAAAAAAAAAAAAAAGGAATTTGATAACATTATAACTGTAAAACCCAAAAAATCAGTATATATCACTTCCTGTAAAACCCCTTCTTGCGGAGGCTAGGGATTTGGAGCCTCTGAGAGAGGTCGAGAAATCTGTGGAAGCAAATGGAAGGGCCCTGCTTTTCCATCTTTCTTCCGTTTCAGGATGAGCAACACACGTATAGCAGGAAGAAAATCCAACAAAAAGGCACACGGATGAGGACGCATGGGCAGCGTTGTGCACAGTGAAACAAAAAGCAGAAAAACAGAAGGAATAAGGTGGAGCAACGAGGGACACGTGGGTAAATTTACAAAATTACCCTTGTATTATCTTATGCATTCATTTTTTCTGTTTTGATTTTTTTTCGGCCGAGCGGCATTTTTGTCATATTCTTTTTGTCGAAGTCATGACATCAAAATTAACCTCCGGCTTTATATATAAAAGATATTTACTAAAAAAAATTATTATTAGCATTTCAAAAATCTCATTTAACATTCTAAACTTTCTTTAATTAAAAAGAAAAATACTCTTATAAAAAATGTAAAATGAAATTTTTAAAATGCTAATAACAATTATTGTCAGCGATGGGTCTGATTTATATGATGGTAGATGTAGAACACTCCGGCTTTATATATAAATATCTTTTACGTTTTGGTAAACTGTGCTGATAAGTAGCTTGGTTAACGGTCACATCACGGACACGCCACCCTGAAGGACATGATAGGCTCCCTGGAATCCGATCGGAACATAAGTTAATGAATACGTGGCGTCCTGCAGATAATCATAAAAATCAGGCTCTGCGCCATTTTGGACCGTTGCTCACGTAGAGCTTCGTCTAGGACCCCACGATCACGCGGGAGCAGAACTCCTACGTGGGTCTCTCCCGTTGCATGCTTCGTGCACAGGGATGGACCCAGAGTTTTAAACGCCGGTGGACTCAACTTTGAAGACAAGAGGTGGAGGGAGTGAAAGGAGAAAAAGCCTGATGTGGTGGGGTCTAATCTGGAAATTGGAGGAGTAATTTGTTTTATCTCTGCTCATGCTCATGCAGTATCCAAATCATCAATGTGAAATGAAAAGGGCTGGTTGTTCTTGTTTGTAACCGAACAGGAAAAAGAAAAGGACCGGTTTTGGGGCTAGAGAAAAGAGAAACGGCAGCTTTTAAGTTTTCAACATGAATCCAACTACCATTAGGACTTTTTTTGGGTAGGAAAGGGTTTTTCTTCGGATCTCTTTCTCTTAATTCATTAAGTTCAGAAATCGAAATCGTTGAAATTTGATCCAACGATTAAAGTTATTATAACTTTTTAAAGTAGGTTCCTGTTTGTAACCGTTGAATCAAATTTCAACGGTCCAAATCTCCGAATTTGGTGGATTAGGAGGATTTGGTAGGCATGATGTGATGAGTTATATCCAATTAAATTGGACTTATAATCAAACTGATGTTTGTCGTTTTGAATTGAACATAACTCAGCCGACGTTTGTTGTGTAAGAACGTAACTTGGATATAATAGGACAAAATAGGTTACGAATATCAAATAGAGTGAGTTATCTAACATGTCTCATGGTCTCCCACACTTCAACGTCGTCAAACAAATTCTAGCATGTTCTCTCAACTTCAGTGACAAATTAATATCAGGTTTTTGCATGTGTGGTTGCTGATGATTAAATTATTAACTAAGTGTTAATTAACGTACTTATTTTATTAATGATACATCATATCATTTATAATTTTGATCTAAAAAATTAATCTAATTGATCTCCTTAACATTAATCGTGGTACGGTAAAAACTTTGAGCGGTACTTTATGCTTCATCCAATTATACTTTTCCCATCATTTCAGCATCTGCTGAATCACACGCTACACGTGCGCGTGGGAATTTCATTATCATCATCGAGTCATCGTTATATAAAGACGCCATCTTTCCGCGTCGAGCGCATTCTTCATCAGACGCCGATGGCCACCGAAGCTCCCGGCTATACCACCCGATTTATCGTCTCCCTTTCAACCCGACGACCCGATTGCCCCTCTCCGTTTCCGAAGCTCCTTTATCGCCTCGAAACGGGTCAGTCCAACTCCAACTCTCTCACCCTCACTCCCAAAATTACTGATTTTTGTATTTTTTTTTAATTTTATTTTTTCTCACCTTGTTAATTTGAGATTGAAGTAATTGGTGGATTTTAGTTAAAAACCCTAATTTTATTAGTTTAGCTTCAATTACTTGTTAATTTCTGTTTAGAACAACAAAATTTAAAACTTTTGGGGGGTTTTTGTTTGTAATTGTATCAAAAACCCGCTAGGGTTTTGAATTTTTTTATTAATGTCTTGCAATTTATCATTAGTTAATGGAAATTCCTCTAGGGTTTTGAAATTTTTTATTAATGTCCTACAATTTATCATTAGTTAATGGAAATTTTTTTCCAAAGATACAACCTTTCTGGAGGGTTTTTTATGCTAAGTAATGATGTGGTGGATTTGCCTTTTTCATATCCATTGTATCATGTCATGGATTCATGTTTGTATGTCTATGACATGACCAGAACATTGAAGATTGCAACTGCTGCAGCCATGAGTGATGCAATTGATTTATCCGGGGATGGCGGTGTTCTCAAGAAAATTGTAAGGCGTGCAAAGCCAGATGCAATTGCTCCGACCCAAGACCTTCCGCTCGTTGATGGTAAGGGCTAGAGTGTTGTTGCTGATCATATTTATTTTTCGTCTGTGCACTGGGAACATTTTGTGATTAGGTTGAGTGGAAATACCTAACAAACTTATGTTCAATTTGTTAATAATCATATACATTATGTTGGCAGTTCATTATGAAGGCATTCTTGAGGAAACCGGCGAGGTCTTTGACACGACACACGAAGATAATACAATATTCTCATTTGAGATTGGGAAGGGCAGTGTGATCAAGGCTTGGGATATTGCAGTGAAAACCATGAAGGTTAAAATAAGCTTCTCTTTGAGGCTTTTTTTTGTGAATTTTTTAAGTCCCTTATTACATGTTTTCTCTTTTGATTGTTTCATCAGGTTGGGGAGATTGCTAAGATCACTTGCAAGCCAGAATACGCCTATGGAAGTGCTGGTTCTCCACCAGATATCCCACCCGGGTAATGCCTTTGTTCTATTCATTATTTTTCTGTCAAATTTTTTTTATTAAGGGACACTAGGAGTGCTAGTAGCTTTGTTAAGTTAAAAATATGTTTGCGCAGCGAGATGCCAAAACAACACTGTCCAGACATAATTATCTCCCAAATGTGGATAGTAAATGCTTATAGTAAACAATTGCATCTTAGTCTATGATTTAAGAGTTATTTGGTTGGTGATCTTCGATTCCCAACTATAAACCAAGATATTTGTTGAATAGATGTAAAATCTCCGGAAGCATGTTGAAAAGAAATGTACATAAATTCCAGGTGGTAAGACAAGGGAGGGCCTTGACGCTCGGTACTTGCCAATTTGTGCATTAAGTATTCTGGTGTATGACTGTATCCAAGTGTTCGTAAAAGTCTACATCAATTTTCTTGGTTAATCATGTTTTATTTCTTGTTACAAATGGTGTCGCTCTACAATGCCTTTGGAATTAATTCATCGTCCATTACAAATTACTCCTGCAGTGCAACCCTTGTATTTGAAGTGGAGTTAGTTGCTTGCAATCCCCGGAAGGGATTAAGTTTGGGTAGTGCTTCAGAGGAAAGGGCTAGGCTAGAGTAAGTCCATTTACTTTCATATTCTCCATAACTTATATTCCAGATACATAATGCAAGTCCTATTGTTACCGTTGAACTTTTTGTTGGTTCCATTGAGATCTACCAACTTTTTTGTAACCAGTATGATTGATTGAATTTTGTGTTGGTCCTCACAACAGAGAACTGAAGAAACAGAGGGAGTTAGTTGCTGCAAACAAAGAGGAAGAGAAGAAGAAGAGAGAAGAGGCCAAAGCTGCAGCCGCTGCTCGTATTCAAGCAAAGTTAGATGCCAAGAAGGGCGGAGGAAAGGGAAAAGGGAAAGCAAAATAGGCACTCGGTCGCAGACTCGAATATTTGCATGAGCTTGATCCTTCGTATTTAAGTAGCTACAATAAATAAATTTAATTCGCGAGTTAGACCGAACTGTGTCCTCCATAAATAAGTTATTTTCGGACCAGAAAAGATGTTATTGATGTGTTATTGAAATATGAGGTGTTGAATTATTACATAATCCATGCTTTTATTTATTTATGCTGAATTATTGCATTTCTTTACTGTGCTGCCTGGAATTAATCGGCCCGATTGAAATTTCCTAGATCGGAAATTCCGATTCTAATAATTTCCGGCTGCTAAATTCTTGACAAAAGTTCCAAATTCGGGAACTTTATGAATCACAAGGCTTTAACAAGGAGATTTCAATCAGATACACAAAACTTGTATTGCAAGTATCAATTTCTTCACCATTGAATGACAAGGTCTCGTAAGTCTTTAGATTTTTAGCCTCGCCTCTCAAATCATGAGTAATTTAGGAGACGCTGTTGAAGATGTAACCCTTCTGCCTGACCCCCTTCTGTGACTTCATCAAGTCTTCCTCTATCTATGGCAGTATCAAGCTCTCGAAATCCAGGCCGTTCAAGTTTATCTGCCTAGACATCTCAGTTACAGCAGCTGGCAGCGGAGTAGCATCTTCAGTTACACTTGATGTATCTACTGCAGAGGATACACTGCAAGGAGGCAGAACATTGCGTACATTGCATCCTCCTCGATCTACTTATAACTTCAAGGATGACATGGAGGTGTTCTACCCTCTAGTGGATGTTCATCCAATCACACGTACACTTGACAAGCTGTGGGATGCTGACAGATCAAACAAGGATCATTTGTTTGCTGATAAGAAGCCACCTTCATCACTTTTGTTTCCTTGGCCCGGTAGGATCTTTAGTTTTCTTGGAGGAAATGAATGCTCAATGTCGAAGTTCTGAATGATAATTTGTGTTATTCCTTGGTGCAGGATGACATACAATCGTTGTTGTTTGCACTATCAGATTCAACTCCTGCTCCATCATCCAAGAGTGAAGACTCATCCGTCACCCTTCCAGAAGCTTGGGGTTGTGAGAGATTTTCTGTAAGTATAACCGCCTGCGGCGTCTGTCATTCTCTTTTCCATCTCGCATTGGGAAGTGACCTCAGAAATCAGGTTCAATTTTATCTGGATTGCCAGAACGCATATCCTCCAGTGCCATGCTTATTATGTCCCCCCGGTTAACAAAGGCCTTTTGGGACAGGCTAAACCTTGATTCACCAACATCTTTGGCCTTTCCTCAAAGATTCAATCTAATTATGCAGAGAGAATTATCGCCACATCAAACTTCAACGACAGAACGTCCATGGCAGTGGGTTTGCCGGAAACAAATTAAGCAGCAGCTGAAGGCCGAGAAGAGGTGAACTGTCGAGTAGCTTGTTGTCCAAGTCAGACACATCAAACTGCCACACAATCAGGTGCTCTTCCACGCAAGAAGAAACTCTTGATTCTTTTCGGAATTCCACACAAGAAGATATTTAAATTTTAAGAAAAATTCATACGCGAGAGGTACGCATCTGTTATCTTCTTGTTCTTTTTTTAAGTTTCTGGAAAACCAAAAGCTGAGCTGATGAAGGAAGTTAAGCCTCTTCGGAAAGAATACCAGCAGCACCGGCAATTGCTTTGAGCGCCCGTGAAGATTGTTACTCTTTCTATTTTTTTTTTTTTGTGGATTTGGGATATGTATGTCGCTTCAAGAGTTATAATTTGCAATTTCCCCCAACACTGTATTACTAGAAAAGCCTTAGATTTATGAGTTTTTCAATTTTAATCCAATCACAAGCGCTAAAAAGGCCACGTTCGTAGGGAACGGAGATGTTATCGCTCTCCAAAAATTCATCCTGCACTCCTTGGTGAAAAATTAATCCAACCACAACAGCCACATGAATTGGGATCCTCTCCGGATCTCTATGTCTAGAGCTTATGGACAAAGAGATCCGGACTGTTGAAGAGAGAAATTCAGACCCTTAGTTTGTGTAAGGTGAGCCGCAAGATTGGCTAATAGGAGCCACAAGATTAAAAATGAGTGGTTGGGATCTCTTGGTCCTTTAGCTCTGGACACAGAGATCCGGAGAGGATCTCAATTCCCGCCATGTCATGTGGTCTACAAAGACCATTTTTTTATACGGATTTCAAAATACACAAAATTTGTTGTTTTGAGGGCATAATATATTCAGCCAATTCAATGCCTAAATGTCAACATAATTACAGCAATGCCAATGCTGGGCATAACCCTTGAATCTGATCCATCAGTGTGCCTAACTATGCAGGAAGGTACATCTACAAGTTACTCTGTTATAATTAAACCATGTAAGAAGCATCCGTTCCAGCTTCTCCATTTTCATGCCACCCTGATCCTGCTCGGAATTTACATACCGGACAGGTTCCCTGCTGCCTCAGCCATGGATCAATGCAACTAGCATGGAACTGTAGCAAAACAACAGAAAGAGACAATAATAAAACGAGATTTTAGAATACCAGAGCACCATTACATAAAAGTGTCTTCTATCACAACAATGCACCACACAAGGTTTGGAGTGCAAAATGAGACTCCTCTAGTCCAATTAGCTAGAGATGTGTTTTAGGTTCATAATTTGCATGAGTGAGAGAGTGTGCGGTGTGGGGACGTGTGTGCACGTGTGTGTGTGTATGTAGGGTCGAGCAGAACTAGATGCATTTTGTAGTTGGGACCAACCACACATTACTCCGTATCAGAAGAATTTCTTAGCAAACATTTTTGTTCAGCAAGAAATCCTAAAACTTGCAACTGAAAAATACAGGAAAAAGAAGCCTAAGAATGTCAAACCACTGAAAAGAGAACCGAACCTGATGCAAGCATGGAAGGCTGCGGATTAGTTCTCCCACAGTAACTTGCTCCAGGCAAACAGTACAAGTCAGTTCATCTTCCACTGCTTTTGTGCTCCCAACTGTGTCGACAGTTTCTTGCTTCTTCTGCAAAATAGAACAGAAAGATACAATGCCACAGAATAAATGCACTGCTATCATATCATACACAAAATTTCTTCTGGCTGTACTCATACAAAATGAAATGCAGGAATCTCTTTACTCTTATAGAGTGACAGAAGGGTGAAAAATACAAAAGGAAAGAGGGATAATATATAGCCAATACCTCAGCAGGTGCTGAAGATGAAGCTTGTTGCATTGATGAAGCACCACTGCATACAGAACAAAACCATGATAAAACAAATGTATTCAACATGAAAAGGCTAAACAACTATAATTCAATTCATTCTTCCATTTGTCTCAAAAATTCTTGGACTCTTTATGTCTAAATCAATCACTCAAGGAAAAAAAAATTAGAGAGCTTACATTTGAGGACCTGGCACCTTGTATTTATGGACCGGAAGAGCATTTATCTCTTCCTCACTCATAGAAGAAGCTGCTGGAACATTATCAGAATCCAGAGCTCGCAAAGTTTCATAATCTGGTATTAAACAGTAGAGTAATTTGGCATAAAACTAAAGGCTATAAAAAATACTAAGAGACAAAGCTATGGTTTGGCTAGTAAAATTTTTATAACAGCCATGAATGGGGTTTCAAGATGTAAAAATCATTTTCAGACACATTTAACCACTAACCTAGGTCATCAAATTCCCGGTCAAGAAGTGCAAGCTGAAGCCTGAGGCCTTGAAGGCGCCCTCTTGTTGCTAGGGCTATCGATGGTGGCATATGCAACCGCAATTCAGTATGGCCAAGAAGGCCACTTCCTGCTGCAACATGAGCCTGTGCTTGAGCTTGAAGTTGTTGACATGTTGCATACATCCTTAATGTTGTAGCCATCAAAAAGACACCAAGAACTAGCCAGAGCTACATGCATAAGTTTAAAAGAACGATGTTTAAATTTCTCATAAAACAACCTAAACGAACAGCAACCTGGACCAGTAAATGTAGCAAACCAATTTAACAGACTCAGAGAAAGACAATACCAGAAAATTTGGTGACATCTGGTGTGAGTTCAGTATCATGAACAGCAAAAGAACTGGCCATAAGACAACACATAAACAGATATCAGTACCAACCAACAAAATTACAAGACTATACAAAGGGTAATATTATAGGCACCTGTGACAAGAAAAGCAATTGAGTTGGAATTGACAGAGCGTGGTGGATGAACGCGCTGAGATAAAACAACCAATATCAGTACAAATTAATGAATAATAATAACTTTGCCCCTGTTCCCTAGAAGGTGCAATTAGGCCCAAAGGGTATTGGCAAATGAGAAAAATAGAAAATTGCATACACACTGGCCATGGATTAAAACATGAAATTCAAACCTCCACCCTTGAAAAAGGTCGAATTAGGGCCAAAGTCAATGGAAATATGTGAAATACAAGAAATGTACCACTGCACGCCGCTCTGTTATAAATTCCGGGAATCCACTTTCGATATCCGCCCTGGAACCCCGGAATACAAAACTCATGTCTGTAGAGTTCCAAAGCCCTCTCTGCTCAAACTATGAAGTCACTGACTTTCCAATTCACTGAACTGAAACACGCCAAGAAAACACATACAATCAGTAATCCTCATAATCCACACACAAAAAGAAGCAAAATACTGGTAAAAAGTAACTCAAGATTCCCAATTGACATGCAGTAAGAAAATCACCAGTGAAAAAAATAAAAAAACCAAAACCCAATTAATTCCAAATTCCTGATACAAAATCACAAATCAATAAGAACCCTAATCCCTAAATCACGTTCCCTTAGCTATGCAATTAACCACAAAAAATTATTCTTTGAACTTTAGTGATTCAGGTCGCAATCGAATGCTGTGAGAGATTAAGAATTACAGAGGCATATTAGAAGAAGCTTTCGTAAGCTACGATCAAGAAAATCAAAGCAATCAGAAAATAAACAAGGGACTGAGAAACGCGAATAGACAAAGGACTCACAGAAAAGAAACGACTTCGGATGGCTCAGATCACAAGAAACGGCAGCGTTTTTCACGAAAACGCCATGCAAGCGCTTCTTCGTTGGAAGAAAGGGAGCGAGTTGGAGCGTGCAGAGATCTGAGTCGACTCGGACGCGTTTTGCCGCTCCTGTCGGAACTGTTTGGTTTGTTTAACAACTCTACGAAGATTTTAGTTCAATTAGTGTTTCGCTACGACACCGTTTCCCTCCTGGTTGGTCTTTAACGGCTGCTTTGACTGCGAAATCTCGGAGACTCCTTTTCGGTTTCAACTTTCGGGCTTCCACAATCAGCAACCAGTCCTAAACGCACCGTTCTGATCAACAAGAAACCAAACAACACAACCAACCAAGAAACCAAAATTAGGTTGTCTATCAAAAGTGGTGAATTGTCATGTTCGTTACAGTGCGTTTACAATCTATTATGTTCAAGGTTTAAATCATTCATTCTCTCATTAATTTAAAATAATTGAATTTTCTTGAGGGAGCAATTTCAATGTAACAGGTTGAAAGAAGAAAATGAATTAGGTTTTCTATTGGTGAATCTCTTTCGAGTAAGTCCCTCTAGTTTTAAGGGCCTCTTTGGATTGATTGTGGCCAATTAAAATGGACTTGAGTCCAGTTTCTTGTTTGTTGTGTTAAAATGCAGATGGGCAAGACTGGACATGATAGGTTATGAATCACAATAGAATGAGTTATCTAACTTATCTTTATACATGAGTTACAAGTCATGTCTTACATGTCCATGCCAATCCTATTATATTCCTAAGGCTCAATCTCATCTAGCTCACCAAACAGACTCTAAGACTACGTCACCAATGTGACCACAACAATAAAACAAACAAACAACGTAACTCTAACTGGTTCTAAGATTACGTCACACATTTGACCATCATAATAAAGGCCGTCATAGATAAACAAAGGGAATTGTTATTGGTACTCCAAATTTCTCATTCTACACTACAAACTTTCTATACTTAGAAAGAAAAATACACTTGTAAGAAGTATAGAATGAGATTTTTGGAGTGCCAATAACACTTCTCTAAACAAATTCGCTTTGACTTTTGTTGTGGTATAAATAGGCCACATTTTGTTTTATTTATGATCACTAGGGGAATAGTTTGTTTATTATAGAACTTAAAAAAATATATACATAGGGGAAAGGGGGAGGGTTTCGAACCCAAAACATACAGAGAAAAACTCAACATCCTATCTAGTAGGATATTAGATCATCTGCATTGATTTTCATGACTTGATCATTAAATTTTAAAAACATATTTGACGAACAAGGGATTTAGTACATTGTGTATCAATTTCAATGAAAATTTGAGACTATGGAAATTGCATATTATCTTTTATCACATATGTAGGGTAAATTGAGCAAAACATGGGGGAGGGAGACAATTCAAGTGCAAATTAATGTATGATTTTATAATATGTGCAACTCTTGATAGATTAGGCACCCTTCACCATCCTCTTGGGTCCCACGGAAAATCCAAACTCCGCCGTTGGAGTTGGAATCTTGAAGAAATTTTTAGTTATAATGGGAACACGGATAGTGCATCATATGTTTTTATGTAAGTGATAAAAAGTTTTAATTTTTAAATTATTAACCTTTTAACACACATATCTCATTATTTATATAAAAACGTAATGTATCATCTTGTGTGAATGTCATACTGAAAAATCTTTTGGAATCATGGGCAATCGAACCCTGCAACATTCTACCCCTCCTGCCCCACCTGCTGTCACTAAAATACATCTTCATTGCCCAACACAGAGTTACAGAATCTCACTGTTAAAAAATTAAAATAAACTACAAAATTACTAAAACAGAAAAGTTAAACTATTCAAAGTACCACCTAATTTTTAATATTTACGCAAATCCCCATGACCACATAATATCTGAACAAAATGGGCCACCTATCTTAGTACCAACAACTTTGTTCGGCCCACCATGGTCCACACAATCACCCAATGAGACAAGTCTTACCCTTCACCACTCATGTCCGAGGACGTCATTGGTTTGAAATACCTTCACCTTATCGTATTGATTTGTAAGTCACCAAAACTTTGCCAGCTCAGACCCAGCCCGGGTCCCACTTAAGCACCTAGGCCAAGCTTTTGACCAGCAAGATCACACCTAACCTCAGCCACTCCCACCCTAGATTTCTCCAAATCAAATTCCATCCACAGGTTCTGCTGATGATAATGACCAATCACAAACGCCTCTATGCCCAGCAAGTCAGAGTTCCCATATGTGAAGCAATACACCTGATTCCCGCCCCTCACCATTCCCGCCACCCGATACAGCAGCCTCTCCCCCGACACGCTTATCTCGGCCCCCCGAAACATCAGCGTCACTGTCGGCAACTCGGGCAGGCTCGGCCGGTTCGTGGGGACTTGGAAACACAAATCCATCGCTCCTTGGAACACGAAATTCGGGTCGTCCAAAGTTTTCAGAACCGGTTTGGTCTGCTGAGCGAATTCGTTTTTCAGCGCGGTGTAAACCGGACCGAGTAGGAAAGTGAACTGGGTCCCCGAGTCGACCATTGTTTGACCCGCCCCGGTATGGTCCGGTACGAAAACCGATTTCGGGAGTGGTAACACCTTACCTCCAACCCGGATCCCTTCCAGCTGGACCGAGTACGCGACCCGGTCGAAGTACGGTAATGGTGTCGATATCTGAACCAGAGGGGTGTAATTTAACGGTTTGAGCCAACCGAATTTCGCTTCGCCGAAAAGCAAAATACCGGACGAGTCGCGATCCGATATGCAGTAGGAAAATTTCGGAAATCCCATCTGTGTTACGAAGGACAATGACCCGCGGTTCATGCCCATTAACCCGGTTGTCTTGGCGTCCTCGTCGGCGTTCGAACTGGACCCGGAATCCATGCACCCGAATATCGTACCGGGTTGGGCTGACGACCCGAGATTGAAAGTTTCCAATGCGAGGTTGCCTTCGATGGAGGAACCGTCGGCGTAGGAGAGAATGGCGTGGCAGAGCTTTTTCGGGTCGCAGGAAACGGGATTGGGGAAGTCGCTAGTCCGGGTCCGGCAGACAGGAGAGGAGCAGGGGACTGGGGAGTAGGACTTGGATGCGAGAGGGTTAAAAACAAAGTTGAAGTTGGGAGCTTTTTTGCAGCGGAGCCAGGAGAGCTCGCTGCCGGTGTCAAGGACCATGGTGACTTGCTGCGGCGGTGAGCCGACCGAAAGGGAGATTGTGAGGGTGACGTTGTGGTGGAAGGAGAGCTTGTTGGTGGATTTTGGGAGGTACCCTTGAGGGAGGGTTTGTGTTTTGAGGGGTAGGATTAGAGTTTCTGGTTTTGGAGCAGAGAAACAGAAGGTGGTGTGGAGTTGAAGAAGAAGAACGAAGGGTAGGAGAATGAGCATGGTTTTTGGTGAAACTACGAATTGGAGAACTGAAATCGAATGGAATGTATATTTTTTTTTTGTTGGATTTGGGATTTGAATGCGTTGGTGTTGCAGGGGAGTTTGAGAGAGCGAGAGTTTGTGGCGGGGTCTTTGTATTTGTTGCAGGTGTGCGTGAGTGGTGAAAGGTACGATTTTTGGTTTCTTATATGCTACATAATGTCTCTCTCTCTCTCTCTCTTTCTCCCAAAATTTGGTTTAAGAAAATTTATACATGCAAATCACATGATTATGTATTTGTACCTATAAAGAGATGTTATCTAATCAAAGTTCTGATTTTATTGCAAGGGGTTTGTAATTAATCAAGCTCTTAAGAACATTTACTTCCGTAATATTAAACGGTTAAAAGCATTAACTTTTTTAACCCGTATCCATTATATATATGATAAGGAAACTAAAAAACAACTGCTGATGTTAGGAAAGGAATGGGAAATTTAGGAACGAGTAAGAACTTTAAATACTTGGGGATACAGAAAATAAGGAATAAGTCTCATTCATAATTTTTAGGATATTGTATTACTAATTTTCTTAGAAAGAGACGATATTTTTCTTCTCATACTCATTACTGATAAGTAAACATATCTTAATGTATTTTTTATCATAAATTTGTAATAATATTAAAGCGCGCTTAAAAGCAGTTATATTGTAATTTGTATCCGAGAACTATGTTTCATTCCCTTCTCTCGTTTTCATTGTCTTTAACGTAATTCTTTCTCATACGTGCTTTTTGTCTTTGAAGGTATCGGGTTTTTGGTGATGGAGTCTTCCCTTTTCACGTACGTATGTTTTCAGGTTGAAGTAGGTGCATTCCTTTACTTATAATCTAAAATTGTTCGTATATAAAAATTGGTTTTTACTCTTCTGCTTTCTTTGCCTTGCATGAACAATTTAAAGGTCAAATTTTTATATTCTTACCTCCTAAATTTCTAATGTGAGGGCGAGTTTTAGTGCAACAAAAATGTTGTTTCTTTGTGATCGAAAGATTACGAGTTTAAGTCGTGAAACAACCTCTTTATAAAGCAAGAGTAAGACTGCATATAATAGACATTTCATCTGACCATATGCTTTGCTATTTGCTTGTTTATTACGAGCCATGAATATATTAGTAGCTAGACTGTGCTTAACCCTTCCCTTTCTGATTGATTAAGCTTCGAATCCAACAGCCCAAAAAGGTGATTAAACTTTGAAAAGAATTATTCACCTATTACTACTCCTAATAATCTTGTTCATAAATAAAGTTTCAAATCAAATCTCCTTATGGAGAAAGCATCACCTCAATTATGCTATGATTTTCTTCAATTTTTTCTGTACTTTGCACTAATCAAACAACTTATTTCCATTGTTCATGATTTTTTTTTAATAGTTTTTCATTTAATTTTTTTTTTGTAACGTTTTACCACTTTTTTTAGTTTTAGTAAGATATTCATTATTTTGGTAAATAATGACTAAGTACAAAGACGATAAAAACCCTTCAAGGATTTCAACTCGACCCAAAGGAAAAAAAAAGTATCCCACATGCGTTACTCTGTAATGTTAATGTTTTACTACTTTAGTTTTTTCTTCTTTCTTGTTCTACTGCAACTCATTGTTATTGTATTAATATGAAAATGAAAGTTAATGAATTTCAATTATCTCTCTAATCTTAATTAGATGAGCTGGTGATTAACAACCAATCTGACCTATGTGAGCTAGAGATTCGTGAATTGCCGACATACCCTTTGAGAAGGCATTATCTGGAAGGTACAACTGGAGACAAAAATGTATGTTGCTCGGAGATGAGAAACTTATATTATTAATTTAAGCCTTGACTCTTAAACCTTTTTAGTAGACAATTATTTGATTAACTACTGTTAAGTATGTATTATATTGTCAACCCGGCCCTAATATTAAACAAATGTTTGAACTTTCGGCATACATGTAAACCCTAGACTTTGGTCCTGAAGGCAGCCCCCTCCCTGGAACTGTTTATCAGTCAAATTAAGTGTCATTCAGAACCTTCTACTTTATTGAGAAATGCTTTATTGCATGACAGTCTTGACGTACCATATGCCATTTTAGTCAGTCAGTCAATCTAACTTCTTGTTAATTTGAGTCGCTGGTCATTTCAGTTATTATTCAAATTTATAATCTGAACTCAAAGTATAACACAACATATTATATTGTTAAATTGTTAATTTTGTGTTGTCTGAGATTGCCAATTTCAGCCACGGATCATAGCAGTTTTATTCCTATCTGATGTTATGTTTCATATTCAAGTTGCGGAGAATAGTTATGTTTACTAGTTAGTGGGATTATTGGACCAGTCATTTAGTGGAAAATGATTTTCATTTTAGATAAATCAAGTTATTGTTAGAATGTGTAATCTAAATTCTGAATACAATGACATAGTTACAAATCAAGTTATTTTAAGAATGTGTAAATGTATATATCATAATTGATGAATAATGATTGGTGTACCCAATTAGCTACCAAAAAGAAGATCCATGATGCATAATCTCATCAACAAGCTTGATTACCGCTTAATAAATATGCTGGTTCCCACACGGATTAGGGGTCAAAATCTTCAAATAATGTGAAGCATACTAATACCAAAAAGATTGTGACTGAAAGGGAATCGTGCGCGTTCTCTGATGATGTTTACCTTCCCATCACAATACCTAGGCATGCAGCATGCTTTGACAGCAACTATGACAAAACTAAATGCCTCACAGGAAGGACATAGCTGCGATCGATGATAATCTTCAAACCTAATAGTTTGAAGGCTTTCAAGTTACGTGCATATATATTATCAAGTCAAGCACTCAAGCTTCCATGGCCAACCACATGTCCCTGTGTGCGTCCATCAACTTGTTTTTGTTCTTGTCCATTAGCTTAGTTACCCTTAGGGACCATCTACATTGTCAATGCCAATGAAAGCGCCCTCACTGTCTAGAGTTTGAAGTTTTCTTCGTTGAATGCAAAATACCAAAAATTATTAGCATACATGGGCAAGTTGATTTGGAAATATTTCAAAAGTCTTCAACTCCTTAATTCCTAGACAATGGGACAAAGAGTTGCCACATAATTGGAGGAAATTTTAGCATACAAAGTGAGAAAATTTTAGGGGAATTTCGTTAGAATTCAACTTTTCATTATTTCCTGTAGATTATCTTGTATGTTATAATATTAAACTATGAATTAAGATGATTGAATGTTTAAGATGATATTAAACTGATATTTGCATTTACAATTTGTGCATTATACGCATTAGACAAGATATGTATGGTTATCAAATAACATGTCAGATATTCGACAAAAAAATTGAACTTTAGTATTTATATTATGAGAATAAAAGCTTCTAGTATCCATTTTTTTAGCGATCTTTAACGAAAAGTTTCCGGTATTAATCATTTTAACAAAAAATCATATTTTTACATTAAAAAGTCAATCATAGTACTATTCATTTTATCCTTTATTTTGTCATTATCGTTAAATCTCAAAATTTTCAAGTTATTTTCATTAGTTTTTTTTTTTTTTTTTTTTTTATAAAGAAAAAGAAGGTCAAAGTACGTAGGTAAGTTGCTTTTGATTATTCTAGTGAATTTGAGGTCACTAAAGATATTATCAAAAGCAAACATGATAGTTACTTGTGTGATTGAATAATGATGGTTAGCTTTAACAATGCTAGAGAGTTGGAGGAGTCAATAGAACTAAACAGTTGAATTAGGTATGCTTTCTCAATCAATCAGACAAACTCAAGGGACAAGAGAGGAAAGATATGTTGCATGCAAAGCTTTTATATACGTGACGTGAGTTGCATTCTTCCTCAGTGGACGACTCTTTTTCAATTTCCAAGTGCAAACGCGGTTTGGCAATCGGTCACCAACTAATTTGTTCTTTCTCCAAGTTTTGTTACTCTTAATTCTGAATAAAAAGAGTACATTGCATTGAGAGTGTGAATTTTACGCCGAAAAGTTTAGAGATTTTGTATTGGTATATTATAAGGAATCGAGTCCTTTTTTCAGATTATAAATTAAATTTAAAGTGAAACCTCAACTTTTTTTATGCTTTAGAATAAGTTGTCCAAGATAGTAATAGCGTCGTCTTGCCCACACATGAGTGCGTGAGTTAAAAAATATTGAAACTTCAACTTTCTTCATGTTGTTAAAAAATATCTGACATGTTATTGGCTAATTAGTTTTTTATTAAAACTTCATCATATTGAAAGTGTGACTCCTACAATGGGATCTCTCCCACTATTTTCTAATTTGCCAATTAATTTTAAATTGAAACTTCAACTTTTATCGTGTCATTATAAAATATCTTATGTTTCTTGGAATAACATAAAAAAAAAAAGGACAAATGAAAAAACCCCTAGTCAAGGATTGAAATGATAATGTTACAATTATTATAAAAGATCTTATTTTGTTTTCATAAAATCACATCTTCATGAAGTGTTGTGTTGCATGGGAGAAATAGTGTTATATAAATAATGACAGTGTAGAGTATTTGCCCACCATATCTAATTTTATGGGGTTGTTGACATTAGGTTTAAAAATCTATGGCTTAACTTAAAATTGATTAAGTACCAACCGACTTTGACGAAGTATGAAAGTAATTAGCTCGACCATGATGTCCACCGTCTTCAACCAGCTTGTTAAATATTGCAGTGTCCCACATTTCTTTTATTGAATGACCATTGCTGTTTCGTCTAGCACGAAAATGAAATTCGAACGATCTCTTTTAAAATTGAGAAGATAAGTATCAGTAAGTAAGGTCATCTCCAATAAAAAAACTGGCCAGACGGCTCGTTTTAGCCCTATGACTATCCAAGAAATTAATATTTTAATGAACAGTACATAGCCATATTTGCTTCCATCTCCAACCGAGGGCCAAAGGGCTATAGGATTCGCTTTAGCCCTGTCACAAAAAACCATCTCCAACCGAGGGCCATAGGGCCAAACATAATTTATTATTTAAATTTAAAAACTACAACAACTTAAATTTTAAAAACAACAACTTAAATTTAAAAACTACAACTTATATTTAAAAAAGATAAATTAAATTTAAAAACTACAACAACTTAAATTTAATATCCATAATCAACAACTTAGGTATTTATAGGGAAAAAAAATAGAATTTTTAAGAATTAAAAAAAAAAATTTGGCCCAAAAAATTAAAAAAAAAAAAATTTTGAATCCAACGGTAACTGGAGTCAGCTAGCCGTTGGATTCAAAAATTTGTTTAAGAATTGTTGTCAGATATAACCGATAGGATTAATAACAATGTTGTCAGTTATATCTGACAGCAATTCTTAAATTTCTGGCTAGCCCTTTCAGATTTTGTGGGGCTCATGAGCCCTTTGGCTTAGCCCTTGGTTGGAGACAGTTTTTGGGCTATTTTCAGCCCTCTGGCTCTCTAGACCTTTGGTTGGAGATGGCCTAAGAAACACGATTAACGAATCGGTCTAAATAGAACTTTCCAATCAAAACTTGACTAATGTTCTAGGCCTAGCCAATATTAAGTAGGGCGTCATTAACCGTGGTTCGCTATCAGTTGTTAAGAAATTTTCATTGTGCTCGGAATACTAATGGCACACTATGTGTTGTTATTATATGAAAATCCAATGGTCTTATTTCCATTTTTTCATATTTTGTTTTGCAGGGTTGTCAGTAAGTAGAGGAATCATCATAGCAGCAATTCTGGCAGCAGCTGCCTTCACGCTGCTCTCTCTCTCTTTGCTGCCTATGCAGGCTATGCAAAATTGGCACAGATTAAACAAGGTACAATTCCCCTTCTTTAGTTTTTCTAGGTGATACTCTCTTTAAACTAATTTTAAGACTAAAGTTAAAAATTCAAACTCGAATGCATAAAGAGAGCGTATTTACACTAGTCAATGTGGCTGCGGCCACGACTCGGAATTTAGATTTGTATTTTATGAGATTTCATACTAGATGTTTTAACGTATGCCATGTTTTGTGAGTCACATTATTTATCCAGAGCTTAGCAATGCAGGCCTGGCTGCAACATGCATCAACGAGTACTCTAGCTTGAAGTTCAAGTATGAAACCCTCGAAAAGGTCACTAATTATTTTTTAAGTTGTTAATTTTTTAACATAATTATTTCACCACTTGTTTGGTGACACGTAGTGTCCCATCATGTGTTTCTAGCACACTCAAAATCGAGTCTGATCCCAAATTCCCAGAACAACCTTGCATAATACTGAAAGCCCACAAATCGACAAGGGTTGAGGGCAGATGGGCTAACTCTCTTTTCTGAATTATGAGAAAAGGGTTACGGGTTGCCGTGGGAAAACTCTTGGCCCCTTTCCCATACAAGTGAGAACAGAGAAGGGAAGCAGAAATTGGGAAAAAAATTGAACCTCTCAGGTATTCAAACAAATACAGGTTTCAACGAATCTCTTACTACAACTAGTCAAACAACTCACACGTAAGGCGTCTTACGACAATTTAATCAAATGAGTAAATGCGTGAGTCGCTGAATGCGCGACAAGAGTTGATGGATATTTGTTATGTAACTAAAATCTGTCAACTCCTATCTAACAAGAGATTTTTCAGTGTGATCAGTACACGGAGTGGTACAACACGTGTTATTATACAAATGATGGGATACGTATGTTAAAAAGTTAATAACTTAAAAAATAAAGTTTTCCACAACTTCTATAAAAATACGTGGTGTATCATCCGTGTTCCCGTTAGTAATATCCACCCAAATCGAAATAATATCCATCCAAATCGAAATATGTCCATCCAAATCAAAATATGTGGCCGAAGACAGAAGGAACTGAAACAACACAAATCAGCGGAGGATCGAATCAAATCGAGTTCCAAATCCCTTCAAGATATTTACCGGTTTCGATGGGGATACTGTTGGGACCAAAATAGTTAAAAATTTCAGGTACAAGTACGTCCGGCATTTTCTATGATTTGTTTTTTGAGTAAATTGTAACAATGATCATTCAACTTTAATCAAATTGAAGTAATGTTCCCTCAACTAAAAATTCATTACCATTGGTCCCTCAACTCATCAAAATGTGTACTATGATCATTTTAGTCAACTTCGTCAAAATTTTGTCAAAATGAGTTATGTTCCATTGCTAGAATTGGAGTCCCTCAACTCTTCAAAATGAGTTATGAGAGAAATTTCCAAAAATCCATGAATCAAGAACTGGAAACCATAGTTTACTACATGAGAGATATGTTTTGAAACCAATGTATAATCTCAAAGGTGTCATCGCCCTTGAATGCTGCCATGTGTTTAAAAATTACGATTATCCAACAAATATTTGTCATGCAACGTCACGCGCATGAGAGTGTATCTAATACTACAGTCATCGATGACAGAACTTGAAAGAGAAAAAGGAGATCGAGTGCATCAATCAACGTTTATCCAACCCCAAAGAGGGAATACAATCCTATTCAGATTCTTTTGTGAGGATTCCAGGGATCATTTTTTCGTGTTTGCTTATCGTACATCGTGCGGCCATAAATCATTTTAAATTTTTTATATTTAAAATTGAATACAAATCGTACCTGACGAAAACTGACTGCATGATCTATGATGAGTGGATACAATAAAGTGATCTTCGAGATCCTCACAAAAAAAATCCGAAGAGAATCCTTATCCCAAAAGAGTAAGGGCAAAAAAAAAGCCTGAAAACCCAACTAAGCCTCAACAGTAAAAAGTGACCGTTTCCCCACTTCCCCAGTGGGAAAATTTGAATTATCAAACGCAGCATTGTATTTCTAACTTGGATAGTGAAAAAACCTTATCTTTTTTCTTTTGTCACTGTCCTATGGAGTTCATTGGCAACCGAGTCACCGACAAACGTACCCTCAATCTTTGTCACTCATTTGGAACACATGCCAAATCCAACAAGATAAACCAACATTTCCATATTTCCAATGTGATTTCGGCAAAGAATTATTCCGGAATGATTCCTAATTGTGATTCCAAGTTCGCGTATGACATACGTCGCATATCAAACAGTAAATTATGAGACTGATTAGTCGTGTATAGTTAAACTATTATATATATTACATAAACAATATTGCATACATTGTCGTATGGTAGAATTTACCGAACAAAAAATGGTTATACCTTAGGCATTATACATTTTTTGAAAAAATAATGACAGGTACTATGCTAGGAAGTAGGAAGGGAGTATTATGAAAATAACAAACTGAGTCTACCTAAAAATTACAAATTCATGAAAATTGAAAGACGTTTTTAATAGAATACATCTATGAAAAAGCACCAAATCTAAATTCTGATTTTAGATTTCAGTCCCTGAAAACTTGAAATCTCAACTGGAGGTCCTTCTCCATTTTTTTCTGCTTTTCTCTTGGATTTTACTTTAACTAGCTTTAGTAATTTCTTGGGGATTTTCAGGCCCTTTTCCCACAGCTCAATTAAACGTCAATTAATCGGCCAAATCGTGAGCTCAAAAGGTCCTTCACATTCACTCGTTTTCCCCCCAATATTTACAGCACGAGTGAATCAACCAACGGAAACGACTACATTTTCCACGTGTCACCATCTCACAATACCGCTATTCACCTCCATAGACCAAGTCCTCCGCCGCCTTGGCGTCGACGTCTCCGCCGGTTCCAATTCCATAAACCTCAGTCTTTGATGACTCGTCGACGGAGGGGGCGTCGGCGCCCCAACCCTCATTTCCGAACCCGAAACCAAACTCGCTGCCGACGACCCACCCCCGTTAAAACAACCAAACAGATTCATAAAAAACCTCCTCAACCCACCGCTCTGTCTCCGTCTTCCACCATTTCTCGTCCACGAAATCCTCCTCGGAGCTCCGCCGCCGCTAAACCCGCCGTCCATCTCGGTATACACCACCGGCAGCTCTCTCTCGGCGCCTCTTCTCCCCCCGCTATATCTCCCCACCGCGAATCCGCCCCCAGGCAGCCTCCAGATCATAAGACCCGCGTTTTCGTCTTCCTGCTGACCCGTCTCGGGCGACGAATCGGCCGGCAGCTCGTGTCTGCATACAGGACACGAATTCCGGAGCGCAAGCCACGGCAGTATACAGTCGGAGTGGTATATATGTTTGCAGGGCATTTCCCGAGCTTCCGTGCCTACTTCGAACGCTTCTTTGCACACGGCGCAGTGATGCTCCGCCGTTATGTGAGCGTCGTCGAGTTTGATCGTCGGCATCGAATCAATCGCCAATCTCGACGCCGATCTCTGCTCGCATCCGCCGATTCCATTGATCTCAATCTGCGACAGCTGTTCGAGTAGGCGGTCGAACCCGGACCCGAGTAAAAACTGGGACATGCTTGCAGGCAAGGGCCGGAGCCCCGAGCCGCTGCCGTCGTCGTAAAAAAGGTCGAATCCGCGGCCTTCCTCGATGGTGGCGGCGTTGTCCGCCGTTGTTCCGCGGAGGACGATGACTGGATTGAACGGTGAGCGGTCGCCGTTGTTTCGTCGAACTCTTCGAGGTCCCGAAGGACCGGAAGCGGTATGATCCGGATTGGAACCGGAGCCATTGTTGGCTCCAACCATGTACATCGCGGCAGCTGGGAACCTCCTGCTGCGGCGCGAGTCCACGTTTCCGAAGCGGGTCGGGTTGTTGATCTCCTCCACGAAGCCACTCTCGCAGTCCGGGCACAACACTGAGGAAGATACGGCGGAGACGGTGGAAGCGTCGGCGTCGTTGAAGACCCTAACGAAGCGGCTACATCTGTAGCACCAGTAAGACGGCGTCGCCGCGGACATGGAGACGGCCAATCAACGCTCTCGAGATCGGAAAACAAAACACTGCCGCTGAAAGTCCGAACGGGATCGAATTTTCGCAATCGTAAAAGCCCGGTTTGGGAAACGGGAAAAGAACAAAACGCCGAGAGAAAAATATATAAAGGGTTTCTTCGGAAGGTCAAATTTGATATTTTGCGCGTTGAAAAGACGAGGACGAAAAAAGATTTATGGTGGTATTAACGGCAAAACCGCGTCGTCTTTGTTAGCGTGGTGAGGACGCTGTAACTCTCCGACACGTGGGGGGTTGATCGGCTGAGCGCATAACGACGTTTAGTAGCGTTAGATATCAATCGATCGAGTTTTGGAGGAGACGACGCGTTTCCAAGTGGAAACGGAACGGAGTTTCGGAAGCCGCGGGAAGAAAGGGCTGCGCCGTTTTTCAGTTGTTAGTTGAGCTATGCGAGCTGGTGCGAAAAGTTAGAGGCTTCTTGTAAATAGGCCGACGTGGCAAGACTTTTCTTATTTTAGATTTTTTTTGAATTTATATTTATTTTTCTTTTCCTATTTATGGGAAAACGTGTTAGGTAAATGAAACAAATTAAACTCTCTAATAAGACAAAGAGGAGAAAATTTTGATTGTAACGGAAACATAGTTCGTACATTACGTGTTTTTATATAAGTGGTGGAAAATTTTGTTTTTTAAGTTATTAATTTTTTAACATACATATCTTATTATTTATATAGTGATACGTAATGTATTACCTCTTGTATTGATCACACTGAAAATGTCTTGACAAAGAGTTAAAGATACAAAAATAATTAGATTACTTGTCTCACATGGCTTTTGGGCTTTTGCCCATATCTTCAAATTAGCACATTGTTTTGATATTTTTATGTTTACTATTTTTATTTTTATTTTTGGAATAAAAGAGAAGAAAAAAAATTGTCGTTCTCAATCCGACTCCATTTACTTCTACTCATTAGTTTATAAGATCGAAATAGAACTATTAGACTATCTCCAATGGTTGGGCTAAAAGCCAAATATTTTAGCCCTGAAAATTTAGCTTTTAGCCCATAAACAACTTTTCTGCTCCAACCGTTCTAGCTTAAAATTTTAACCCAAGATTATTAAAGAATGAACTTAGGCTATTTTTTTTTTAAATTAATTTTTTTTAAATAAATATGTAGACTATCGTAAATTAATTTTATGAACATTTTAATCTAAAAAATTTTAAATTCCGATAAATATTGGGTGGAGTCCACTCCAATTTCTGGGCTAAATTTTGGGAGGAATTTGGCCTTGGTTTAGCATTTAGCATTTAGCCCAAATTTCCCCCTTAGGTTGAAGTGGGTTTGGGGGGGAATTTTGGGAGGTAATTTGGTTTTTAGCCCACCATTAGAGTTTGTCTTAGACTAATGAAATATAGACAACCATAATTTAGAAATTTTAAATTGAATTCTTGTTAAAAATAAATTTGAATTAAATTATTATAATTAATTTATTACGAATTTAACCACTCACTCACGTAAACTAAAAAGTTAGATCTAAGTTGTTATGAAGTCACTAAGACTCCCTTCCATCTCTCTTTACAAACCGTGTGAAATTCTCTCTAGTTTCTTAATATGCAATCACCCTTGCAGTTGGACCTAGCCTTTGGCCTGGGTTCTAGTGGCTACCTTGTCAAATCTTCTTCCCCTTTCCCTCATTCTCTTGTTTCCTTTCTCTTTTTTTCACTTTTTCCCAGAGATTTTTCTCAGCTTTCATGAGCTCTGTTTCCAATTTTTTCGTGAATTTGTCACACCTTTGGGCTTCATGTCCCTCCTCTCCTCCCCTCCCTAGCCTATGGCCGTTACTTTCCATACTCAAAACTCCACCTCCCTCACCTTTTCCCTCTGCCTCCCTTTGTTAGTGCAAAATTGGCAATTCTTGACAAAATGCCTGACTTTCTAATAACTTAGATTTGTTACACATTTTCAATTGTAATTGTTTAAGTCTAAGGATGTCTCTCACACTTTTGATGCAAAGATGTTACGTAAACAAGATACTTATTCAGGTACGTTTGCACGTATGCATTCAACTACATTCACCTGTTATCTCATGTTATTGTATTTGGAATAGGACTCTTGACCATTGTGTGTTTTATCTCTTTTAAATGACTTATCATTTCTATATTAATTATTAAAACACACTTTCAAAACAATCTGATTGCATTGGGACTTATCTGATTGCATGTTGGTGAGAGTCATCTGATTACATGGATTGCGTTCTTATGGTTTGCATCATGGGGTGATTTGAGTCTTTATAAGAGATGTCAGAGTCCTGTAGAAGTCAAGCCGCATATGCATGAATATTTGGTTCTTTGTTAAAAGCATCGGCAGCAGCTTTGTGTTTTGAAAAGATGAAAAATAATTTTTATGTTGTTGCCATCTTGTGGTTTCAATAGCATGCGTGTTTAAAGAGAAAATATTGTTTTCATGCTATTTTCATTTTAAGTTGTTAATTGAATGTCAATTATGAAAATGTGTTTTGTGATTTTCGTAATTGATTGTTTTTCAAACAAACACTTCATCATATAAACATTTTGCATGATTGAGTTTGTATCTTGCAAAGTTCGAGGAAAAGGTGATTGACGATCGTGTTAGTATTGTGCCACTTCAACTTGAAGAATGACGAAAGATCGAATAGCAAAGCGCGAAGACGAAACTTCCAACTAGTATGGTTGTCTAGTTGATGAGTTATTGTAAGTATTTATGTATTCTTTCTTTCTTAGTGCTTGCTGGCTTGCTAGCCCGAGGATTTTCCCAATGGTGGGTTTTGCCTCATTAAATCCTACATCATGTGCATACTCCTTATATTTATTCTGACTATTTGTGTAGGATTTAGTTTGCATAACTGATTAATTTAAACCTTAATTTGGATTAGTTTTAAGTTGGAATTTATTAATATTTCTAGGTTAAATTAGTACCCATCCTAGGACTTTCAATTAGCACCAGAGCAGGTCACTATATATATTTAGTGAGATCTGTTGGATCACTAGGATGAATCATACAATGGGGTCGATATCCCATCCACCACACTTTGCAGATGACAACTACGTTGCATGGAAGGCAAAAATGAAATCATTTCTTTGGGTGCTTAACGACAAAGTGTGGCTTGCGGTTGAAGAAGGTTGGGAACCTCCAACAATTAGAGAAACCAAAGGCGAAGAACAGTCTTCTGTAAATGTTTCTATGCTTAAGCCTAGAAGGGAATGGAGCGAAGATGAACGCAGCTCCAGCACATTCAATGAAAGAGCATTGAATGCGTTGTTCACTGTCGTTTCGCCTGAGCAATTTAACTACATAAGTAAATGCACAACGGCGAAAGAAGCTTGGGATATTCTTGAAGTTACTCATGAAGGTAACTTCACTGTCAAAGAATCCAAGCTTCAAAATCTCATCACAAAATTTGAAAATATCAAAAATGCTAGATGATGAGAGTTTCTCCGACTTTTATGCTAAGCTTAGTGTAATTGTCAATGGTTGTCACAATCTTGGTGACAACATTCTAGAACATAGGATTGTTAAGAAAATTCTAAGATCTCTTCCTTTAAGGTTTCATGTGAAAAGGACAGCTATAGAAAAATCAAGAGATTTAAACACTTACAAGTTGGAACAATTAATTGGATCACTATAAACAAATGAATCTGACTTCACTGAAGTTAAGAAAGGAAAAAATGTGACGTTCAAAGTCAATAATGAAAAAGTGAATGAGGATTCATTTGAAAACTTGACCCAAGATGAATTTGCTCTTCTCACCAAACAGGCAAGAAAATTTTTGAAGCTTAGAAGTTCCAGGGGACGTGAACATCGAAACAATTTTGATTCAAACTCCAAAGTTTCTTGTTCTCGAGATGTCTCTAATGGAAATTCCACTAAGTTTGTGAAACTTGGTGAAAAGAAAAGTTCAAATGATAAAGACAAGTGTTTTGAATGTCAAGAGTATGGACATCATGCTCATGAATGTGCCAACACTCTTAGAAAGTTGAAGGATGAAAAGAACAAGGCTTTAACCTCCACTTGGAGTGATAGTGATTCAAAAAAAGAAACAGCATCTGAAGATGATGACGAAGTGGTTGCGTTTATTGGAATTCTTGATGGATATGAAACTGATGACTCGGAAGTTGAAGAACCTGATTCCATAGAAGTCTTACAAAAATATACTGCACTTTATGATATCAAACAATCTGATCATGTATATCGATTGAAAAAAGCTTTGTACGGTTTGAAACAATCTCCTAGAGCATGGTACGAAAAACTCTCAACTCATTTGTTACAGAAAGGATATACTCGAGGAGCTGTTGACAAAATCTTGTTCGTTAAAAGAATCAAGAATGATGTAACGATAGCTCAAGTATATATGGATGATATAGTGTTTAGTTTAACATCTGACATCCTTGTAAAAGAGTTTACTGAGGTTATGCAGAGTGAATTCGAAATGAGCATGTGTGGGGAACTGAATTTTTTCTTGGGATTACAAGTCAAACAAGTTGAAAACGGTATTTTTGTCTTTCAAACAAAATATGCAAGTGAGCTAGTTAAGAAGTTTGGTTTGAATTCTACAAAAACAATCTCTAATCCTATGGCAACAACCACAAAACTTCACAAGGATCCAAATGGAAAAAGTGTTGATCAAACACTTTATAGGAGTTTGATTGGAAGTTTATTGTACCTTACTGCTAGTAGGCCTAATATCTTTTATAGTGTCAGTGTTTGTGCACGATATCAAGCTGATCCAAAAGAATCCCATCTGGAAGCTGTCAAAAGAATCATCGGGTATGTGAGCGGCACGGTTGATTTTGGATTACACTATTCTTTTGAAACCAATTATGAAATTGCTGGATTTTCAAATGCCGATTGGGCAGGAAATGCTGATGATCGGAAAAGTACTTTTGGATGATGTTTCTATGTTGGAAATAATCTTGTTGCTTGGCATAATAAGAAACAAAATTGTGTTTCTTTATCCACTTCCGAAGCCGAATACATCGCTGCTAGTAACTGTTGTACACAATTGCTTTGGATGAAGCAAATGATTAGTGATTATGGCATTAATCAAGGCACTTTTTCTGTTTTCTGTGACAACACTAGTGCTATAAACATCTCCAAGAATCCTGTTCAACATTCTCATACCAAACATATTGACATTCGTCACCACTTTATTCGTGTTTTAGTTGA